CCCACTGGCTCCCGGTCTGCTTCCAGGGGCAGTTCAGGCTGTGGCTTCTGACCTTTCAAGCCCTCAAGGGTAAAATCAGAACCACTCGGCCCCCTAAGACAAGCCCATCCCACTTGTGCCAGCAGAGAACGCCTACTTTGGATCCTGCCAGTCAAAGAAGTCTGACTAGCGGGATCCAGAAGAAGAGCCTTCCCTGCCACAGCGCCCCCCTGTGGAACATCCTGCCCTCTAAAGCAAGACCCCTCCTCCTCTCCTTCCGCAACAGCCTGAAGACCTGGCCCTGCCAGTTGGCCTGGGGACCCAGGAAGGGGTTCCATGCTGGAGGGGGCTGCTGGGTTGATGACAGAATCCACCTCCTCCTCTCCCCACCCCCCCAGCTCTCTGCTCTCCACCCGTCCAACTTTTGGTGCTATTATTATACTTCTGTTTACATGCCTTTCATTTTTCTTCCTTTTTATTATTGTAAGCCACCTATATTTAACAAATAAATAAAATTACTAGACTTCTGGCAGGGGCCCTTGAATATGAAGATGCCCATTTCTCTTTTGTCAAGTGAATTCTTCATGGTCCGTGCTGTTCAGAAGGGAGGCAGCCCTACTCAGGGGCAGTAGGGGTGGCACACATCTGGGTGTGGCTCAAGGAGACGGGGTCCAAGAAAGACTAATACATCCTGCTGCTTTGATCTTGTGGTCAGGTTATCCATCCGGGAGACTTGAAGAACTCCATAGAGGTGGCCTTGAATAAGCTCCTGGATCCTATCAGAGAGAAGTTCAGCAGCTCACAAATGAAGAAACTCGCCAGCTGCGCATATCCTGATCCCTCCACAGCAAGTAAGGGCCATGGGAAGGGGGGGGCACACTCCATCTGGGCTGGCCTGCCATGTGCCTAGTGGGCAAGATACAAACTGAGGTTGGGGCTTAGAGGCACCTCTCAAACCTCCCACATTTTCTCTATTTTTCTTTGCATTCTCCATTTCTTTGCATACACAATTTGCACACACACACCAGTCTGCATGGAACAGCTCATCTGCTTTTGCCCTGAACTACATTGCTTGCATTTTGCATCTCTGGCCTTTGCTGGCTGGGATTGTACAACATATGTGAACAATAATAAGATAGCTGTATATAATAATAGCTTTATTTATTTATTGCTCATTTGAAATCAGAAAATCAAAAGCAAGAATGAAAGCAAATCAAGGAAAAGCAACTGAGATTAAAAATAATTTGCATTTATCCTTAATCTTAGGTCTTTTGAAGTTCTTTACTGTGTTCATTTTTCAGACAAAGGTGTCCTCCACTGACCCAAAGCAAGATGTGCTTACAGTTTTGCAATAATAAACTTAATGGCAACAGGAATTCAATCAATTTATATATTGTGTCAGTGTATAGATGTTGGGAATAATGTGCAATGTACCAACGTCAGGGTTCATTGTAGAATATTATTCATTGGATAGAATCTCCCTTTTTTTCCAAAGCTTTTGGTCAAAAGAATGTTTCTACCAAAGATTGTAAGATGTGCCAATTTTCTGCAAACCTTCTAGCTCAAGCCAACAGGGTTACAGATTAAAGTAGCATGCTATAAGAAAGCAAAAATTATATATTTAAACCTGGATCTAATATCTAGGTATTCTATTAACCCAAGCTTTGTGGGAAAGATTAGGAAATTTGCTAGGAAAAGTTGTCATTTAGAAAATGATTCATTTCAATCATTATTTTGCACCAAATCTTTAAATTCTTGAATCAACTAGAATTGCACAACTTGGTAAACTAGAAAAATGTGGGGTAGGCAGCATCAGCACCAGATAGATTTGTAGCTGGCTGACAAACCATACTCAATGAGTAGTTCTTTTCTTTGGAAAAGTTTTATTGTTTTAATTAAACAAAAAAAGAATAATCTTTCGTTACATCTTGTAAAAAGCGTGTTGATTGGTTACAAATACATTTTGTGTGTTTCTTCCACAATCATTACATATACTTCATTCAAATTGAATTGTACATTTTAAATCAATTTTTTAATGTATTTTGCTATCACTGTACCATAATTCTCATTTAATTACAATTATTTAAACGTGCTTTTATTTAAAATCATTTGTATTTAAAGACACAACCACCTATTGGCATTCATTCGCAATTTCAATAAACCTCCAGTAACATTACACCTTTATAACATATTCTGGAACAAAGTCAGTTAGTAAGATATCTAAGCATTCCCCCCTTCCCCCCCCCCAACTCACAGTTTAAAGCTTATATCCAATTTGCTTTCACTAGTACATATATATATATGTACTAG